CATTAATACGAGGTCACAAAATAGACAAAGAAATACGAAACAAAGGAGACGAGACTAATTGAGCTGACAATGGGGACCTTTAATACATACGAAGATACCAAGAGTTCCCTCGCCTACCCATACCAAAGGTACTGGGCTATGTAGCTATAGTGAGTGTTGGCTGGCCCATGTAAGTTGAAAGACACCGTTTAGACCCTTGCCTTTTTTTAGTGTTAGTCGGCCGCCACACCCGCGCAGGGGGGCTGCAGGTACTTTAAATCAGCGGGCGGCTAGGTAGAGGTGAAAGTATAGCCAAGAGCCAAGAATCCAGAGTGAATCCGTCTTATGGCCAGGTATCTTGAGGCATTATTGGTTGGATTGGGGGGGGTCGAATCTAAGCGAAGGCACCTCAGAGTTAGAGACAACATCACTACAAGGTAAGTTAGCCCGTGGAATTACAGGTAAGATGCAGTTGGTGATAGTAGGTATTAAAGATACAGGCTACGGACAAGAAAAACGTGGCAGCCATCATTGGCCGAATCTCAGCGCTACTGTAGGAACCCAGGCTAAATCACGATATCCTTGGCCCTGCCCTGTCCTCGGCCGATATCAAGCATAGCCCATATCGTAGCGGGTCCGAGGTCGAGACTTGACCCAGTTCCACAATTTCCCATCATGCGGAAGAGGCGTCCAGGCATTCAATGGGCCAAGTCGTTCCAGGTTGCGGCATGGGCGATAGACCTGGGTTGGGCTCTGCAGTTCTTGGCACTTTGGGGGCATGGCCTGTTTGTTTTCGCAGAGTATTCCTGAACCAGGTCAACAAGGAACAGGCCAAAGGAATGTTAATTACAAGTCCCTCAGAAATCAGAGACAAATGCGCGCATCTAGGTTACACCCGCTCGCCAGTCTATACTTCAGATCATTATGAGAATAGCAGATGCATAGTGATCAATATCGATGTCACTGGCAAATACAATAAGTCTTGATACCAAGACCGGAGACATCTTGTTGCCGCCGACTCCGGGTCTAAGTTAGGTATTTCTACCCCTGCTTTCAATGCCAAGACTCGCCATCTCTTTCAGCCCTTCTTCTTCTTCTTCTTCTTCTTCTTCTTCTTCTTCATAGTAAGAAGAAGAATGCCCAGTATCTGAGTATGTCACTCATAAGGTCCCTGTCATTCAGCGAGCCCGTCTCCGTGGCCGTTGGCCGCATATTCCCCTGTCATCAATCGTCCTGCGCCTTCGGGGATTTCTGTATTAAGCATATTCGTGTTGGTTGCTTCTTACAGAGCAGCGGTCTTATCTTTTGGGTTCATTACTTTGTTGGTTGACTACTGCAGCGCATACTCAAGTGTTTCAGGTGTCAATGTGTTGGACGGGCGGTTGGCTCAGTAGTCCTCGATAGATAGACTGAGATATTCAGAACGCGACAACATCACTGCCGACGTGATAGCCGCCTACAACAAAATGGTTGGCTTCTCGCCGCGAACCCACAGCAGATATTCAACAGACTGTTCTCGCAACGAGCAAGCACAACGAGCATCGACATATGAGTCTACAACCCTGTCAACTTTGAGGCTGTGCATCAAAGATACAGTATGCATACAACGTATCTGCAGCAATGTTCCGATCAGGCTTCATTTCAAGATCCATATATTTACTATACCATAAGCATTAGCTCATTGTTTTTAATCCACAAGGCTGGCTGCAAGGCAAGGATGCTCACCAATTTACCATGTACCCTGTGTTGGCTCAAAAGATTGTTTGTGCCCACCATCAACTGACATGCTCCCATTTGCGAGGAGTTCTCCTCAACTGGCTGAACAGCTGAGGCATTAGCCATTATATCCAAGAAGACCTTTCGCTCAAGACTCAACGTTTGTCTTGGACAATTTCGATTATAGCCATGCATCCTTACTCTCCAAATGCAAGTCGAACAATTGTCAGATCAGATCATTTGGAGCTAAGCCGGAACGTCGAGCAAGTGAAATCACGCCGTCTGCAATTCAAGTCATAATCTACCAAAATCATTCATCTCTAGATGACAGTTCTCCTGCTTAATCTGTTCATGTTCCCTGCCATGCCTTGGAATAGTATGAGCAACACATAGTGTTTAGAGTTTAGATATATAGGAATGTTTCAATGCTGAGGTCAAGTGACAAGCCACTAAAAACAGCCAGTAGTATCTAGCGATTCACCCTTGGCGTCTGAACGAGGCGTTTCTACCACCTCAACGATCCATGCTAGGCCATGGTACGACTATTATTTGTCTCAAAAAATTAGTGATCAACGCTCAGATAACTACCCATACTCAAGCGTCTTCTCCTCTACACATCCCTCACCATGGAGGAAACGCCAATGGGCGAGTCCATCAAGATATCGTGAGTAACCCCCTCATCTAAGCCTACTCCACTTTCATCCGCTGACCCAAATGACTACTACAGCTGTGAACGATGCCGTCGCCGCAAGGTGCGATATACAAGTCTTTAGCTCTTTCATCGACTTCAGAACTGACTCTTCAAAAAGATAAAATGTGATCGAAAACGACCGTGCTCGCGGTGTATCAAGGCTGGCACCGAATGTATCCTCAGCGGTAGCGGAGAGAAGCAACGGTATGACTCTACCTCGTCAGAGTCATGAACTATCACTAACTCTAAAACAAACCAGGCCAATATCTAAAGGCTATGTTCAAGCTCTAGAGGGTCAAGTGGCATCTCTGGAGCTCCTGCTTCGCAAGCTCGCCGTTGCTGACAGCGCTGAGAGAGATGAGATGCTGTCCGAGATAGCTCTCTCACCACCTGCCTCACTCGACATTACACAAAAGTCGCAGATTGACCATGCCAAGTCAAATACTGACCCAAAAGTTGTAGCTGCGCAGGTCCGCTCCGGACAGCTGAGACGCCCTCGATCGAGCCATGCCACTCAGTTCTTTGGCGGCACCAGCGCCTTTCACATCCATCTCTCACAAGAGGTCTCATTATCCCCAGATGAGATAACTACTCACCTCGAATCCAACTCCACACCGCTCATGATGAACATACCGGAAGTGAGCGCTTCCAGCAGCCCGAGAGACCCGAGCTTTGTCTACGCACCTCACGATGAGACTTCCCAGGCGTGCATGGCTGCCTATTTCAAGTATCAATATCAGTTCCATATGCTCATCTACAGAGAGTACTTCTTACGAGACTATGATGTTGGCTCGGGAAGATACTACTCAGATGCTCTGCTCTTTGCTATCTGCTCGCTTGGCGCCATGCAGCTCGACGATTCCCGCTCAGTGTCCGATATCTTTGCCCACCAGGCCCAGCAACTGATCTACGCAGCTCTCGACAGTCCAGAACTCACCACCTTGCAGGCCTTGGCCTTGTTGGGTTACCGTGAGATTGGTGTAGGTCATACGTCAAAGGGCTGGCTCTTTGCTGGTATGGCCTTCCGACTTGCCCACGAGATGGGCCTTCACCTTGACCCAAACAACTGGGACGCTTCAACAGAAGGAACATCAAATCGTGACACGGAGATCCTTAGAAGAGTCTACTGGGCTATATTCATTGCCGACAAGCAATTGAGTCTCTACTTTGGAAGACCACCAGCTCTGCACCCCAGCGAATCAGACGTCCGCAACACTATCAGACTGCAGTACCCTCCAGACTGGGAGGGTTTGCTGGATACATACATCTGTAAAGGTGCTTCGGCAACAGAATTCGAAGACGGAGTTGCCCTTGTTGGATCCTTCATCTACCAGGCAGAGCTGTGCAAGATCGCCCATCTCATGATCACGGATCTCTTCGAGAACCGTCGAGGTAACGTCGACGCCACCGTGGCTGCAGCCAGGTCACGACAAATACACGTGTCGCTCACAAAGTGGCTATCGAGTCTTCCCGGTACTCTACACTGGAACCAATGGACTGTAGGCGTGGTGCAACCCTCGGTGCTTCGTATGCAGTGAGTTTCCCCCTAAGCCGCATCATTTTTGTATACTGACAAGTTAAAGCATGCTATTCCACACAATCATGATTATTCTTCACCGGCCACCTTCGCATATGTACGAGAAACAAGGTATTGCCGAAAGTGAAGACGTGGAGATCTGCTACGAGTCGCTGCAGGCTATCCTGCGCCTGATGAGAACATATTCGCGACACTATCGATTCCGCTCTTTGCCGCTGGACTTTGTCCAGACTCTATCCACGGCAGCTGGAACCATTATGATGAAGAGGTTCTTCCAGGGAGCCTCGTGGGAAGACTCAGACATTGCACGGTCACTCTCGACCGTCATTGACGCAATGGAGGAAGTACAGCACACCTGGCCGTGCATGGGTGAGATCAAAGATTATGTCGTACGGGCACGCAATGCACAGGTTGTGATGCCCCCGGAAGATCCTCTCATTGGGCCAGATCTCATGAACGGCCTAGAGCTGGGCCACAATGTCACGGCTGAGCTCATGGCTCAATGGGGTGAAGAGTTAGGTACACTTGTGACGGACGAGTTCTTGAGTATGCAACTTCAGGGTTCAGAACAAGGCGTGATGGCGCTGTTTGACTTCAACCAATCACCCCTAGGGCCACAGTAGGGATGAGCTGTCGGTTGTAAATATTTAGATGTAGAGCAAGATATATCAGCTGCAAAGCCAGTATTGTATATGAATTCTTAAACAGTAACGCCCAGTCCGTTCCCTTATTTCCCTCAATTTCATCTGAACTGCACAAAATAATTAGGTAAAGTTTATGAAGATTTGAGAATATAGGCATAAGTTTAGACTAAGCTTAGCAAAGCAATCCTAAAGAAATCCTGAAGAAATCCTAAAGCACATCTGATTTGACTCTACAAAGTAGAAGCCCACTCCTCCAACGACTTGTTGATACGCTCATTTTCAGCTACATCTTTAGCCCTGGCCTTTGCCTACTGATAGACTTATGAGTAGGCAAAGCCTTTTCATTGATATCTACTGCCTAATCAGAGGCCTTCATATCTGCTTCTCCTGTAACAGCATGGAGAAGCTGTCTCACAAAATGGACCTTCTGGGCCTATCGATTCAGGACGAACAGGTCGATCTCGGACGGGTGGGCTCTCATATGCCATATATGGACTGTCTTGTCCTGGGGGAGCCAACGGGCTCGCCTGATGACCTGGTTCAGTTTCCAAAGTGTCCAGAAAGGCTCAGTGTTGATGTGTGTGGCCCTGGCAAGGTTGAGGCCCACCCCACCAGCTCCTGCAGTAAGCAGAAGAACTTCTGGTCCACCAGTTGGTAGGTTGAACGTGTACTGAACCCGAGAGCGTTCCTCCAGATTGATAGTGCCATTGTACTCAGCAAGACGGATCCCGAGATTGGGATCTGTCTTGCTGCGCCGTTCAATTGCTTCCTTAGTGATGTCCAAGAAAAGGACAAACTCAGAAACCACAACAATCTTCTCTCCGGGCCAAAGCTTGCGAATATCTCTAATCTTGGTAAGTATACCCTCAACTCGAGGGGAGAAGATTTGAGTTTCCTCCTCCTTTAGAAAGGGAAACCATTTCTCCATGAAACTTAGGCAGCCAAATATCTCCTCCGTCGAGAGCCAGTACTGGAAGCAGGGTGATGATCTTGGTCTAATGGGAGTTGCTCAGAAATCTTCCTCGCTACATGCAATGGCGGACTTGCGGCTTCAGCTTGGGCTCGGCGTAAGAATGACAGCCCAATTCTCTTCCAACGAGGCTCGTCCTGTGTAACACCAAATCTGATGTATCGGATACCGCGATCAGTCTAATTGTTGATCTTCATTACCGACATTCTTGATGTAGCAAAGGAGACTTTAACACGCGCTGAATAACTGGTGGGAGATTTAGGATTGACTTGGGTCTTGCGATTGTCAATTCCCTGAGGATTGTGTTGGGTAGTGCTCTCCGTTGATGACCGGAAATATCGTTGTTCAAAAGAGACTCCCTCGTCGGGCTGCAGGCTGCAGGCTGTTGCCTGTATACATCGAGACGATGACTATGATTTATGTTAGAAAAGTGATCTGACCAGGGAGCATTTGGATAACGTACTAGAGACGTGCGATGGGTGAATCAAAGCATAATATCCTCTTGGATGGGTTAAAGGAAGAGGCATAGAGGGTATGGTGAGAAGCGACAGGACCTTGCTAAGGCTCACATTGGAGGCAGCAATTACGTCATTCATTCAACAGACGTACGGAGTAAATTGGCCTCTGATTCAGCGCGGGCCCATACCTTTATGGAGGGCCTTTTTAAACTGTTGGTGCCATTGTGATGCGTGTCATAAACGTTGTTATTGTATATTCTGATTGTGCATGTGCAATTTTTTTTTTGGCCTTTCTATAAGTGCTGCTGACTACTAGGTAGGTATTGTCAATTTCTACTTACCTATGTTTGAATCGCAATAAGCTCTTCTATAGATATGTACCTAGTTCAAGGTAAGATTGAGAAGAATGTGTAACAAAGATCAAATAAGCAATAAGTTAGGAGCATACAGTCCATTACTATGCATGACGGTTTCGAGAAAGAGAGCTCGCTAGCGCAGGGCATATTAACGAAACCCTTTTGAGACTGTTTTCAAGTGAAGGATACAATACGATGCCAGTCGAGGCAAGAAAGAAGAAGCTAAGGATGGCACAATAGAAGGAGACAGGGTTAAAAGAAAGAATTAAAGTCATATTTAAAATGATCAGCTCAGTAACTACTTTTCATCTTGGTGTCCAGGGTGGCCCTCTAGGGGCGAGAAAACGTCCAACATTTAATGGCTAGGTATAAGTACCTAGGTAGTCTAAAGACTTAATAAGTTATACTGAATTTACTTAAATCTTTTGATCCCTGAGGATACAGGACGGCCGACTACACATATCTACTTTGCATACCTACATACCTAGGTACTAAGTAATAACTTAAGTGTGTGCATTTCCTAAAGAGGAAATGTTTACTCACATGGTAACAACACGGGGAGTACTCCGTACTTACCCTAGTGGAGGAAAGAAAACTCGAAACCTCGATCCTAGATGACAAAAAGACTTAGGTAACTTAGCCTAGGATTAGGGTAGTTTTACTAGGTAAGTTTAGGATCCCTTTGCTAAGTTTATTTGGACATCCTACATCAAGGTCTGATGTTTTCTTACTCCCTGAGGTTACCGAATACCGAAATGCTAGCGCCTCAGCTTAACGTTGTCCCGGCCGAGGTTCGTTTTGCTGCTTAAACTCCAACCGCCAATCTATTAATTAATCATCTGCCTACTTCACCAAATTGTGTTTCCAATCTTTACTAATTCTCGACTTTGGCCTTCATTCGTTTCGCTTTCATACTGCCCGAATAATCAGACCACGTTCGATCCTCCCATCCATCCGTAACACCCCGTGCATGCGCATGCGCGCTCTCTTTTGCCGATCATAAATCATCATGTCCTCCTCCTCTTCAGCATCGTCATCATCATCACCATATCCCTTTGCCACCGCCCCCGACATCATCCGCTCTCACCAAAAGGATGCATACTTCACCGGCCACCTCACACAGATCCTGAGCGACCTGCATCGTCGTCTTCGCGGTGCCCGTCTCACACACGCCCGCGCACCCGAGATCCAGACCCTCGCAACACTCGCCTACTTTGCTCTCACTACAATCCCCGGCAACCGAACTCTCGGCGAGGAGTATTGCGATCTTGTGCAGATAGATGCGCGCGATGGCCAACTCCCTGCTATTGGCCGTCGCGCAGGCTACGTAGCTGCCAGCATTCTCCTCCCCTATATCGCAGCCCGGATTCTCCCTGGACTACGCGCTCGGTTGCGAAGCCTTCTACAGCGCCGGCTAGAGAGCCTTCGCAAACGAGATGACAGTTCGGCGACAGGACGTGAAGCGCGCATGTGGTCTTACCTGGATCAACATCTGGGCTCTTTCACATCAGGCGCTCCTTTCAAGGCCGTTATTCTAGCCCTTTTCTACTTCAGTGGTACATATTACCAGCTGTCCAAGAGACTTCTCTCCCTACGATATGTATTCACACGTACCGTTCCTGACACACCCGATCGTGCAGGATACGAACTCCTAGGTGTACTGCTCGTCATTCAACTTGCGGTTCAGGGCTATACCCATGTTCGATCTACAATTACCGAGTCAGCAGCTCGCGAGCGCGCTGCTTTTGGGGCTTCTGATGATATCTCTTTAAACCATGACGGAGCCTACAACGGCGATAACAACCTATTACTACCCACAGGGGCTTCAAGCTCAAAGGCCAAAGTCGACATCTTTGCTGCCACACACACCCCAGCAGCAGCTGTACCACGTATTCAATTGACTGATGATAAGGTCATGGGCTACATCAAGGGTGGACAACAGAGAAAGTGCACACTGTGCCTGGAAGAGATGAGAGACCCCTCAGCAACACAATGCGGTCATGTCTTCTGCTGGGAGTGTATAGGAGATTGGGTGAGGGAAAAACCCGAATGCCCATTATGTCGCCGTGAAGCCATGGCTCAACATATTTTACCACTGCGTGTGATGTAATAACTTAGATTTGATTGCAAAGATATCCAATTCAGATGAACAAATATTAATATGCTCAATCACATCCTCGATGCAAGATGTAAAAAACAAAACAAAGAGATACCGAGGCTCAGCGCCCATGGGTATCATCAGAGCAGGCTCATGCCGCTATAAAAACGCTCCAATCCTTTCGTGGTATCCATTCCAGTCCATTCCTGTCCGTCCGATGCACCAACCGCCCATTATCTGCCATTCGGTTTCCCAAAGCATAGTCTTGAAAGAATAAATCTCGACACCAAGAAAAATGGTCCATCCTTGCATCCAGCAAGAGATGTCCGTCCGTTCCCTTGTATACATACTATACACAATTACTGATGGACATCCAGGGGCCCCAATACTCGCAACCGCCAGATACACACCTGACGAGCCAGTTGAACCCCTCCGATCTCATCTGTGCCCGAAAACTTGTACACAAAATAAAAGCTTGTCGATAAAGGTATCGTGGAAAAAAACGTTGTCTCAATGCATCATCCTCATAAACTCCTTTAATCCCATGCCCGGTGTCTGTCCGATTTTCGGCCTGATCTTCCAATGCTATTCTTTTTGTTGCTTTGTCTTTGTTTTTTTGTTTGGATTTGAAGTTGGGTAATCACTCAACAGAGAACAATACGATCTCTCCTTGTTCATTCTGTCGAAGCCGGAGGGATCTCCAGAGTTCTTTCTCTTCCTTGCCCTTACCCAACTCGCTGCCAGTAGCCTCGCGTTCTCGGTGGAAACGCTTGAGAACCCTGTTTAAGCTGACGCCCTTCTCACTCTCAGGACCCTTGTCGACAAAGCTGAGGAAGACATCGGCTCGAGGCTTGTAGAGGACGACTTGTCCAGCGCCGGAGTCTGTTTTGCCATCTTTGCTCTGAGGGCGATACTCGATGAGCTGCTGAGGCTTCTTCTCTTTATGGGACTTCTTGGAAGAGGAAGAGCTCTTCTTGGTCTTGCTTGACGACTTGGTCTTCGTCTTCGACTTGGACTTGGGCTTGCTGCCGGCAATCATGCCAAAGAGGCTGTGACCAGTAGAGGCGTGCTTAGAGTGCTTAGAATGTTTGGAGTGCTTTGACTTCTTCAGAGGGCTCACGGGAGAAATTTCCGGGGCGTCACCACCGGAGTAATCAGGGGATGGAGGGAATACAGGACGCATCATACGGTTGATGCCGCCAGTGAGTCCTGAGTGAAGAACTGGTGGGGCATCCGTCATAACCTGGTCGCTAGGAACATCGATGTGTAATCGCTTGCGCTTCTTGTCCTTCTTCTCAGTGCTGGTCCGGCTTTTACGTCTTTCGGATTTTGAAGCGGGTGTAACAAATTCGGCGGCGGGCACCGGGCCACTTCCATATTCGACTGCAGGCTCATCATCGTCATCCATGAAGCCGTATTCGTCGCTCTTGTCCTTAGGTTCGTATCGTACCAATGAGTTGCCTGGCTCCGCATCGAGATTCATGTTGGAAGCATTGGGTGTTTGTCCAGTTCCAACGAGAAACTCAAATACATCGACATGTGGCTCCGGGGCAGCAGAAGGAGGCGTGGGAGCCTCTGGGGGCGGGCCGTTTGGCGATTCATCATCGCTGCTTTCTTCGTACTCGGCCCAGCCGAACTGATCCTCAGGGACGTCTTCAACGTAGGCGTAGTGGCTCATGTTGCCAGTGTTGTTGGGGAGAGTTTGAACTTCAGCCATGGCTTGGTCTTGGGTGTAGTGTTGCTGGTTATCGCTGGGGTGGCTGTGTTTCTGTTTCTTGTTCTTCTTGTCCTTATAAAGCGCGCCTTGGTACTTCTGGTCTTCGGTCATACAACTCTATATGATGTCAGACGATTACACGAGATCAGGGGCTTAATGGCTACCGGAAAGCCTTGTGGTACATACGGTATGTGATCGGTATTGGACGCCAGGGAAATACACCATACAATCAATGCAGGTGAAGGTAGCGCCGCGACAGCGGTTGCGATGAGGATCAAGCTTCTTCTTGGTGAGAACGTCGCCGCAGGCCTGTATGTAGTATGTAAGTT